GATTGCGACATGACAGGGAGCACATTACAGAATGACAAGTCCAGCAAACGTGCTTGTGATCTGATCTTTTGTAGCGGATGGTGGCTATCTTCAGGTGTAGCCTGAGTGGATGATTTTTGAGAAGGCATGATGAGATTGTCACAAATGGTGACAGCCAAAAAATCAAAAATCAGTCACATGCTATGAAGTCGGTTGATTACAGAGCTAGTCTCTTTCACCCTATAGGAGGACTCTCTCTGGCAGCATGACACCAGAAGAGGAAGTGCCAAATAGCGTGCCCACGTGGGACTTCATTGATCAAGCCCAGAGAGCACCCTGTTGCTGCTCCAGGTATGGGTACCGGCAAGGACAACTTTTTGTTGATACCCATTATACACAGAAACATTATATCCATATCACACGTTGCACATCATTGTTATTGTAAATGAGTTGTCCTTCTCTCTCTATGTTCAGATGTAAATTTAAAACCCCAGTCTCTCTTCTCTTTTCCCATAGACTTCCTCTTGCCTGTTTCTTTTAATAGTAACCATTGTACTGCTTACCATACCCATCTACTTGTGATCTATACAAATTTCTCTGCTTCTACAAACCTTTTGTTCGATTTTGATTGCTATCCTCTTCTTACAGCTTGTGATCTTTGTATATTTTACGATGATTTGGATTGAATCAGCTCCTTGTTTTGTCTTATATGTTTTGCTGGGCTGTCGGACTCCTATTTTGCATTTTGTCATCTGCGTCACACCTCTTTGTTTTACCAGGCACAAGTCTCAGAAGCAACGTCAGATGAGCGCACTGGGCCGCCCCCCCGCTAACTCTCAGCCTGGTGCCAACCCCACCCCTCCGGCTGCCCCCTCCCTGCCACCTCCCGCCCCCTCCAAGCACAAGGTGGCTGACAAACCGGAGAAAACGGAGAAGCAGCCGAAGAGACTAGCCATGACCCCGTTCCACCACAGACTCTCCCTGAGCCAAGAGGCCTGCCTGGAGCAGGACCCTGCGAGTGGCCAGAAGCTGGGACTAGTGGCACTGGAACCTCCTCTCGATGTGCTGCCCAGCTGCAAGTTCCCTAAGCCCCTCCCTGCCACCGGGAAGGTCCCCGACTCCCCCGTTCACTCCCCTGTCTCTCCCCTCCCTCCCACCCTCAGCCCTCACCCTCGGATGCAGGACCCCGAGGTGCTCGAGCCCCCCGTAGGCCTGCCTCCGTGCCCAGAGGTCCCCCTGGGGCCCCGGCTGCCCGAGCCCAGTGAGTCGACCCTCTACGTGGCCCCGCTCAGCTTCAGCGAGGCAGGGGGAGGCTGGTGGAAGGGCTACAAGCTCCCCAGCAGTGACACCCCCGAGTTTCGGCCCTCCGACGTGCACTGTGAACGGGCTGAGCTCAAACCTGACGCCGCAACTGAAGGAGCGGCGCTGAAGAGGTAAGGCCAGAGTGCCAGCATGCGCCCACGTCACGGACTCAAGCCCTTCGAGAGCTGCTGCTGCAAATGTTAAAAATGCACGGCCGCATTTCCTCCAGGTTCATTCAGAGTCTTTACGGCTGGTTTGTGGTGTAAAATAGAAGGAACTTTCACATTAAGAAACATTAATTAAACAGTTAAATTAAATTGTTAATTAAAATTAACAAGTAACTAATAACAAAGTCATTACTCGGAACAGGTTCCCAGCTCCACAACTGTAGATACTTGTTCTTTAGTCTGGGAAATCGGAATGTGCCCTGATCAAAACGGGCAATGGTTCTGTTTCAAAATCGCATAGTACTGTACTCTTTTAGTTGGACACGTTGAATTAGTGCCCCGAGAGTGCTGTGAGTTCTGAAAGCGATTTTCCTGCTCTCCAGACTTTTCACTCAGTCACACAAGCGCTTCAAGATCTCGGAGGAACGAGTCAGAAAGCAGGTCCGCACTCTCGGCCTGCTGGAGCAGCCTGGGATCGAGGGCCTGGGAGGCCCTGGCGAATCTTCGGATCCTTACGCCTTTGTGGACACGGAGATTGAATACATCTTCACCAGCTCCAAGAGGGTCAAGGGCGTAGGCCAAGAGAGAGATCCCTGTAGGAAGGTCAAGGTAAAGCAAACGCATACAGTATAAAGACTGTAGTGCTGGGAAATTGTGAAATCAGGAAACAGAGAATATATTGTATATTAATGCTTAATTGAGTGTGATTCCACAAGGTACTATTCCATAAGACTCGTGGGTATTTGGTAGTCTTAGTTTGGGCTAATACATGGGACTGTCTTAAAATCTAGTAAATGCTTAATACTGCCTTGTGTTGGAAACACGGTATTAGACTTTAAGTGGTTACAGTATATATCTAAATGTTTGGCCCAGAGGGACATGTCAAATTAAGTAACAAAAGAGGCCTCGTTGACAATTTTGATTGACTGAGTATATCTCAAAAGACCACAGATTGCCCCTGGTTACAATCTTTTTCTTTTTATTACAGGGAGAGGAAATGACATCAGGCAACTCTAACCCAGTGCCTGATGGGAAGGACGCCATGTCCATTTTCAGCACGGCACCCAAATCAGGTAGAACATGGCGAAACAGCAACAGTCCCTACTTGATAACATGAATAAATGAAGGCCCATTTCTTCAGTGTTTCTTTTCTTTTAATCTGTTCTTTTAACATGTTTCTCACTTTTACAGATGATTCTCGTCAGGATAGTGCTGCAGCCAAAGCAAACCCCAGCTTGACCAGAGAGACTGACTTGGTTGTTCTCATCTCAGACCTAGAAAACATATTTGACAACTCCGACGAGGATGAGCTTGGAGTGAGTGTGATACGTGTCCTGTGCTTGAGGTTGGAGTGTAGATAGAAGAAAATCTAGATGTTAGCTGTTTGCTGTTTACCTATCTGTAATTTGTTTCTGTTCCTCTTTATGGGTGCCAGGGCAAGTGGGTTCATAGCTGGATTGCAAAATGGAAATTAGCGGGTGCCGTAACAAGCCAGGAGGAAGTCTTTTCATTTTTTTAGGATCTTTAATTGTTGTTATTTCTGTCTGGCTCATTTTCAGACAACATCTCCAACTCGGCAGTCCACCAGGGCCCCTGCTGCAGGAGCTGAAGATCGCCCTCTAGGGAAAGACGGGAGAACTACAGTGCCGTATCCTCCGAGTAAGTCCTTCAAAGCTTTGTGCTCAGGAGCTGCAGCAGAGGACTTAGTCTGTAGCCTCTCATTACAGAAGAAGCATCCTGGTGAAGTCTATATCCAAACTGGCAACAACATCTAAACAGGATGCTGTGATTCAGAACCTTCTGTCTAAGCCTTCTTTGTCCAGCAGCTAAATTACCCTGCAACTCACAACTGACAACCCACTGGAGCTCAGCAGGTGTGAGCCTGGTCAGTACCTGGATGGGAGACCTCCTGGGAAAGCTGAGGCTGCTGCTGGAAGAGGTGTTAGTGTGGCCAGCAGGGGGCGCTCACCCTGCAGTCTGTGTGGGTCCTAATGCCCCACTGACTAGGGCACAGTACCGGAAAAAAAGTGCCATCCTTTGGAAGAGACGTAAAACTGAGGTCCTGCCTCTCCATGGTCATTAAAAATCCCAAGGTGTTTTTGAAGAAATTTCCCTCCGGCCTTTACCAATCATGGCCTGATAATGGGGAGTTACCATTACCTGTAAAGCACTTTGAGTGGAGTGTCCAGAAATGCGCTATATAGGTGACTATATAAGTGTAAATAATAATAATAATAATAATAATAATATTGTTGTTGTTGTTATTATTGTTATTGGCTTCAGCAGTGCTCCTCAGTCCTAAAGCCTTCACCCCTGTTCGTCTTCAACAGAGATGCTGTTTGGCCTAACAAGTGACAGTTACAGGCAGGACCAGATGTGACCTCACAACAAAGTTTAGTGAAAGTATGAGTTTTAATTTAGAATCATAAAGACCATTTCCATCATGTGGAACTCCAAGAAAGTGCATTTTCCTGTAACGGTCGGCACCCATAGAATTACAAGCAGTTTTAGTACCTTGGACCATTTCTCTCGTGTTACCACACATGCTGTGCTTAGGAGAAAGACCCTTGCTTATGGATTAGATATTATATCTATATTACACCCACGGCTGCCCATGACAGTCATGCTCTCTGGCTCCCCCTCCTCAGCAGTTGCCGATCTCCAGCGCATGTTCCCAACGCCGCCCTCCCTGGAACAACACCCGGCCTTCTCTCCCGTCATGACGTATCGGGATGCCCTCAGTGCGGAGCCGCCGCCTGGCATGGCTGGGGCGGAGAACCACCTGGGCACCTTGTCCACTGCCCAGCTCTCCGAGTTCAAGATGGAGGTGGAAGAGGGCCTCGCCAGTCCCAAGCCAGAAGATATTAAGGTGAGGAGTTGGGGAGTTTTCCTCAGTATGTAATGCAGAGATCCATCCATTTTCTAACTACTTTATCCAGTGCAGGCTTGTGGAGAGCTGAAGCCTATCCCAGCAAGCAACAGCCTTGACGGACCTTGAAGGGAACGCCAGTCCAACGCAGGGCACACAGACACAAACACACTCACACCAGGACCAGATTTCCCAGAAGCCAATTAACCTACCAGTATGTCTCTGGAAACAAACCCCTCACAGACAGCACCCCAGGAACTGAGCCCAGGGCTCCAGTGCTGACAGGCGGAAATGCTAACCACAGCCCCTCCGTGCTGCCTGTAATGCAGACATTTTGTTCCAAAATGTTTTAAGTTGCATAATGGTAGGACATGTGTAAAATGTTTGGTTAGATCATTCTGCTGTTACCTGGTTAATGCGCAACCTTGGTGACTTAAATAAAAGTATATAGAGGAAGAAATCTCGTAATGACTGGAATGACCCTTTTTCTGTGTGCAGACCCATTTCCAAGAACTTGGAAAATCAAAATCCCAGAAATAAATCAAATACAAATGAGTGATGGCATTTGGGTGATCTTCTCATGTGAGCTGCCACAGCTCTATTGAACAACAGAATGCAACAGAAAAATGTACTTCATGGGACTGTGGTGAAGAGCTTAAATAAGCATTGAAAGTCTGTGCTGCCTGTTTATTTTAAAATTGATGTTTGAACGGTTTTTCAGAGGATGATTTTTAGAGAAATATGAGTAACAGAACCTGCTTTCTGTTGAACAGCAGAAACATAAGGCAAAGATGACTTTTCTTCTTGTTTTGAACGCGCAGCAGGTCTTTCAGTCCAGAACGTCTGCTTGGTAATTAGCAGTTAATAGATCCGAGGATGTCACCCAGGTGTTTCTTGGAAGAAACCAGGGTAGTAACTTCAACCACATGGCTCGGTAGCTTGTTCCATACTCCTACCGCCCTATGTGTAGAGACGTGCCTCCTGTTCTTGGTTTTAAAAGCACTTCCCAGTAGTTTCCACTCGTGCTCTCTGGTTCGTGTTTTACTGTTCCGCTGGGGTGACTCTTCTGCAGTGCCTTTGCGGATTTTGAGTGACTTTTCTGCTTTCTGAAATGACATCTCCCCGTCTCTTTATCCGCAGGACTTCTCCTATGTGTTCTGTGTCCCTCCAGTCCAGCTGCAGCTGGGCTGCTCCATGTTTGCTCCCCTCCGAACGCTGCCCAGCCAGTGTTTACCTCCCCTGAAGGTCCCGGAAACCTGTTACTACCGGCCCTCCTGGGCTCTGCCCCCGAAAATGGAACAGCTTCCTCTTCCACCACACGTCCCTTTCACCCGCGACGGATATGTGTAAGCTAGCACGCTCAAAAACTGCCCAGAATTCTTTAAAGAACTAGCTAACATCACCCGGCTTTGCCCGCTTTTCCAAAACGGACTGGCTTATGTGCTCTTCTGTGTGTATAAATAATTCCTTGTCAGTGCTGCTTAAACTTGTGAGGGGAAGGAGTTTACTTAGGTGCCAGGGGAAATAATGCAGGTAAGTGTGAAAGGTGCAGTATGACAGAGCGTCCAGCAGGTGGAGACATAGAATCAGCTCTGACTTGTTTGGCGGGACAGAGCTGGGTGGTTGCAGTGAATCTCCATATGCTGGAGAGTCTGAGATTATAGCTCGGATAAGTAGAAATGTATTGTTTGAGATCCGCAATCTGTGTCAACAGGAATATTCGTCTTCAGGGAAAACTGTGTAACTCTTTACAATCCAACGCTACTAATAGTCTAGGCTCTTTTACTATATCTAGACACAAACCCACCTAAGCCCCAGCACACAATAAGAATAAGATAATCACACCAAGGTTTGTGCAAAAATGTCAAAGGGCAGCTCCTTAAGTTTGCATTTGTATTTCCTGTGTAGTGATTCAACAAGGAAGGGCAATGGGAGGGTAGAGCTGGTGTTTTGAAAGATGAAGAGATTCTTAGTGCCTGCTATGGCTTCAGTGAGGCTGGGTTTATAATGCATACTTCAGTTTGGAGACTGTTGCATGTTGCAGACTACCTGTATGATGACAGGTTGAAGCTCCCAGCAGGATGTGCTAGATGTAAGCGTGTTATACATTTAGTTTTAAAAAAATCATGGAGGTTATTTATATTTTCACCGCAATGCAGTTAAAGAACTAATTGTGAAGTCTGTTTTTCATCACTTATTAGTGATGTTATTGAATTTGCTGTTCTGCTCGCTATCGTGGTGCCTCGTATAGAGGACTTTCAGCAGGACCCATGACCCTGCCTGAGCCGTGTCTGTCTCTGCTCTAGGAATGTGCCCAGTGTTGGCAGCCTGATGGACCAGGACTATATAAGCACTCCTCAGATGGGCACGCCGGTGGCCGCCAACAGTGCAGCCTCCACTGGGAACACGGGGGGAGTGCTGCCCTCCCCAGCTACCCCGCGGTTCTCCGTGCCCACCCCGCGTACCCCCCGAACTCCCAGGGGCGTGGGCACGGCCAGCGGGCAGGGCTCGGTGAAACACGAGGGCACGGAGCCGGGCTCGCCGGGCTCCACGCCCTCCACCAGCCGGCCGCTGAGCTCCGTGGAGCCCCTGGCGCTGCCGGCGCTGCCCGAGGCCCACAGCCTGTACACGGTGCTGCTGCTGTCCGACTCGGTGCTCAACATCTTCAAGGACCGCAACTTCGACAGCTGCTGCATCTGCGCCTGCAACATGAACGTGAAGGGCGCCGACGTGGGGCTGTACATCCCCGACTCCACCCGCGAGGACCAGTACCGCTGCATGTGCGGCTTCAGCGCCATCATCAACCGCCGGCTGGCCCACGGCACCGGGCTCTTCCTGGAGGACGAGCTGGACATCTTCGGCCGGGGCTCGGAGGTGGCCCGGGCGGCGGAGCGCCAGCTCGCTCTGTGCCGGAGGACCTCCCCCATCGGAGACCCCACGGCTAAGCGCCCCCAGGACCCCCCCAGTTCCGTGCTGGTCCTCCTCCAGGAGCAGTGCTCCCGGCCCATCTCCTCCCTCTCTTCCTTGCACCACCCTCCCACCTGTTCCTGTCACGGCCGCCAGGGGGCGCTCCTGCAGAGCTGGGCGGCTGACAAGCTTTGGGCCGACGGCAGTGATCCGTGTGCCGAGTGCTACAATGCACTGGTCCACGGGCAGCAGTATGTGGACAACCCGGCTGGGGGCAAAGTCGACCAAGCCACTGTCAGGAGCAGCGCTCTGCACAGCTGGCCTCACACTAACGGTAAGACACTCTCGGCGCCGTAGCGTACAGCAGAGCTAGCGTGCACTTGGCCTAGCCCAGAAAAAGTGCAGATACCCTGCACACCCTCTGCTATAGCCCATGCAAATCTCATGCAAATATTTCTCCCGACACATTATTCCATTTAATATACACAAGAGAAGAGTCTTAAGGTTATAGTAGTGTTTGTGTGAATAATACACATTCATGGCAAGGACATTTTCAATTTTGAAGACAGTGAAATGAAGAATAAAGTGTAATTACATCTGTGCATGCTGATGTTGATGAGGGGTAAAGTACTGTAAGGGATGTTCTTGATTGCACCATCTATTGCCTTATCTGGTCAGTTTACTGTGTAATTCATTTTGTGGTGAGGACTAATGCGAAGCGTGAAGTGCTCTGTGTTTCTGGCCTGGCCAGACACGTACTGTACGATTCGGACTTGTCCAGAAGCCGGAGGACTGACAGCCTCACCCAGCCCTCTTCTCCCTTGTGTTGTGTGTGTTGTGTGTGTGTGTCCGGGTCTCTCGCGGGGCAGTGCTGGACATCAGCATGCTGTCCTCGCAGGACGTGGTGCGCATGCTGCTGTCGCTGCAGCCCTTCCTCCAGGACGCCATCCAGAAGAAAAGGACCGGCCGGACCTGGGAGAACATCCAGCACGTGCAGGGACCCCTGACCTGGCAGCAGTTCCACAAGATGGCGGGGAGGGGTTCCTACGGTGAGAGGGCTTTTCCTCCCGATTTCACGGCTCCTGCCCGCGAGACCTGTTAGCGAGAGCAGATCTGTAGTGTGGCACGAGCACAGGATCCCTATCACTGCCTTCAGCTTCTGATTAACTTGCACTTCACTTACGAGGCGTTTGGATTAAAAAGGCGTTGACGTGCTTTAGCTACAGTATGTGAGTACACAGGGAATTTAAACCTGCTGATGTTTAAATAAAATGCACAAGAATCCTCTGTTTATGCTATAGCTTTATCTTCTCTTACACCTGTTATAATTATCATGCTAAATTTAAAGAAGACTTATTTTTCTTTAGAGCTACTTTAATCTTATGACAGGGCTGACCCCGACCTTGTGAATACCTCTTCTTTTAATAGGATCTTAAAATTACATTTTTCTGAGTGCCTGCAAGATGGAACAGCTCTGGTCAGAGCTGCAGATTAGGTGGGGTCTCGATATGCGCAGCAGGATTGCACACAAAGCCTAAGGCACTGGATGAGTTCGAGAGCAGAGAGGACCTGCTGTGTTTTTAGCTCAACAGAGTAATCTGTGTGACCTTTCAGGCTCAGAGGAATCCCCAGAGCCCCTGCCCATTCCCACCCTCCTGTTGGGCTACGACCGTGACTTCCTGGCCCTCTCCCCGCTGGCCCTGCCTTTCTGGGAGAAGCTGCTGCTGGAGCCCTATGGAGGGCAGCGGGACGTCGCCTTCCTGGTGGTGTGCCCGGACAGCGAGGCCCTGACGACCGGGGCTCGGGGATTCTTCCGGGAGCTCAGCGCCGTTTACGAGGTGAGTTCTGCCCCAGAAAAATATTGGGAGCTTCTAGCTACAGATCGCTGCCTAATGCTGCTGTAAACGGTAATCATCCACCCACCTCCTAATGCAACTGGCCCAAGGAAGGATACAGCCTGGATGGGATGTTAGTCTATAGCAGGGCACACGCAGACACAAAGTCTCACTCCAGGGCCAGTTAACCTCCCAGGGTGTCTGTGGAGAGAGTGCCCAGGGGAGACCCACGCAAACTGGTCACAGGAGCTGCTGGCCATTGTGTGGGAATCTTCCAGAGGGATGGGTGACCCTCAGCTCTTAACCCCTCTCCTTGCTCTCTTCCTCTTATCCGATTAGACCTGTCGGCTGGGGAAGCACCGCCCCCTTGCTAAGGTGTCCCGGGACGGTCTAGTGCGGGTCGGCACCTTGGACCCTCAGAAGCTGGCGGAGGAGCTCGTGGACGAGTGGTTCAGTGAGCCGTGGGCGAGCGAGCACGACGACGACAACCTCACCAAGCTGAAGCTCTACGCACACGCCTGCCGCCAGCAGCTGGGTGAGGCCTCCCTCTCTCCCCCCAGTGCCAACGGAGAGCAGCTCCAGGCCAACGCCGTCTGATTTGGGGCATGAAATCATTTTGGTCAAACTCCTTTTTTCCAAATCGAGCACATCTGGCTAATTGATTTTAGCGTGACTTTCTGCTTCAGAATGTTCTTTTCAGACGTCAAGAGTTATAATAATTTAATTAACATAAATTTAATTAATATAATTTTTTGTTTAGGTGTGTAAATAACCAGAATACATTATCAGAGAATAATAGCTAGGTGTTGGTTAGAGCAGAAAAGTGAGCAAACATTCAGCAAATGTCAACCCTGTTGGTGCAGTAGTTTCTATTTTAGTGGTTTTCTGCCAGTGTTGGTGCACCGACCTTTAATGAGAGCAAAAATTCCTATACTGTAACAACTTGTCAGAATGGCGGTGTGTTTTTCAGCTCCACAGCTAGCTGCCCTGTCTCTGGACAGCAGTCTCCTCCTGCCCCCCAAGCCCCAGCCACCTCCTCCCCCTCCAGCTGCTCCGCCCAACCTGGGCAGCCAGTCATCTGCCCCGCCAGGAGGGACGACGGGGCCCAGCGCCACCTCAACCCCCTCCGGCGCCACGCCAGGGCAGGGCGGGGCAGAAACACCGCAGGGGGGGGCCGGGGACCCCGAGAACGGGCAGAGCACAGCCCCCACACCGGCACCGCCTGCTGAGAGTCAGGAGAGGTGAGTGAGCTGGGCGTCTGCCTGTCACAACGTGAGCAGCCCGGCCTACGAGTGCGTCTCGACCCCAGCACACGTGCCTCTTAAAAGAGAGCCCATTGTTAAGAAGAAACTGACTAGCACTGGGGTGCTGTGAATGATATCCAGATATCTAGTCCTTTAATGACTACAATACAATGTGTAGCTCAAACGATTAGAGAGCTCTAAAAGATGCCACTGTGCTTGGGTGCCTCAAGTCTCCAAGCTGTTGCAATATCCCTCAATCCTGATTCCAGCCGACCAAAGCTTCATTTTTTTCCCACAGGGTAAACTGTTATGTTAATTTTAAGTAGTTGAAAAGCAATGTTTCCCATTCCCTTTCATGTGCTTTTATGTCACTGTCAAACTAAGCAGATTACATATTATTTCACAATGTGTACTGACAATGAATGGTGGGTGAGTAGGGCTGAGAAGTATATAATGAGAGATTTTGTACTCTACGTGAGATAGTTGTTAACTCTGCATGTGGCACTCAACTGACTATAGTCTCATTCATTACAAAATCCTTGCTTTGACTGTGCTGTGTCAAGTTGGTCTTTTTTTACAGTTTTCATCACCAGGAGCTACAGATACAGTGCGTCACAGTAATACTACAGGAGTATAATGCTGGAATAACAGAAACTATATCAGCTCAAGGGCACATATTCAGGCAGTGTTTTTGTACATTGAAATAACTGACATATATTTCTTTCTCACTTCTGCAACAAAATAATGTCTGCGACAGGAGTTTATTGAGAATATAGTGCTAGTGACTGTATCAATGGGTTTGACTATAATGATACCACCATTATTAACAAAGTAGTTCAGGTGGGGAGCTGCGTCAGCACGCGTAGGCTGCAAAGGAACAAGTAATGGGTTTATTCCATGCTGAAAAGAGAAGAAAGGAAACACAACGTTTCAGCTGTGGATTGTTCTTTCTTCTCCTTTCAGCATGAAATTAACCTATTACTTGTTCAGTTATTAACAAATACTTAGGTTTATCTTTTCCAAAAAAGTAGGTGTTGAGGTCGCGGCTCAGTGTTGTTCGGTGATCCGCGGTCACACCACCTCCTTGTCTGTTGCCCCTCAGCTGCGCCGAGAGGGAGCGGATAGGCATCCCCACGGAGGCGGAGTCAGCGGACAGCCACGCCCACCCGCCCGCCATCGTCCTGTACGTGGTGGACCCCTTCCTGTGCCGCGCGGGGGGCGAGGAGGACGAGGAGGCCGAGCCAGGCAGCACGTGGGTGCTGGGCCTCCTGCGCTGCTACACCGACATCCTGCAGAGCCTTCCGGAATCCCTGCAGCCAGCCCTCGCCCTGCAGGTACCTGCCGACTTACAACTGACCCCACCCGGTACCACCTTTATGTGAATTTAATGGAGGTGCAGTCTCAGTCTGTAAGATTCCACAGGTATCTTTCAGCCCGGGACAAACTGTGAAATTGTCCGTCCCCCGGTTCTACGGCTTTTCAAATGAACCGCGCCCGAGCAGAAAGTCTTAATTCCGACAGCAGTTGCCGTCTTAAAATTCACACCCTTAGCCACAGGAATCTCCCCAGGCAGGCAGTTTATGGAGGGGATACCCACGGAGGGAAACTTTATCCTTCGTGTTTCCCTTTTACATTCAGCCAGTTTCATCCCACACAAAGGTGCCCTCAAGGAAAACCCGTTCCTCTCTACTGAGAAGATTGCTTCTTCAAAGCGAAGGAGAGACAGCTCACACACCCACCCCAGTAAGGACTGAAGTGCTGATTGGTGGAAGAATTTGGCTAGGAGTTATAACAAGTCTGGGACAGTCCAGTGGCATGTTTTCCCAAGGTGAGGCCAGCGTGTATAACAGAGTAAAACTGGCCCTGCTGTTCAACTTTTCATCACCTAAGAGGACGGAGGCAGAGTCAGCCCTCCCCCCATTGGCCTGTGAGGCGGCACGACTCCCTGCTCTCTCTGTCTCCCCAGGTGGTGCCCTGCCAGTACCTGCTGCAGCCTGTGAGTGGGGAGAGCTCTCACTACATCCAGCACCTGCGCTCCCTGGCCTTCTCCACCTACTCCCAGTGCCGCCGCCTGCTGCCCACACAGACACACATCAAGTCCCTCACGGGCTTCGGGCCAGCCTCCATAGTCCACGCCGTGCTCAAAAACCCCGAGGTAGAACCCCGCACTGAAACTGCTGACCAGCAACGTTGGTTCAATAAATTAAAATTCGAAGTTTATTTTTTAGCTCCAGTGCCAGCATGTACTCTGTAATTAACGGGATCAGTTCAACCATTTGACGTTGCCGCACCAAAACGGGAGATTAAACAGAGAGGGAGCTGGCTGCTGTGGGTTAGGGCATGTCACAGTGGCTCTTTAATCCTCAGAACAGAACAATTCTCAATTTACCCTGAAACCACATAGAAACAGCAGGAAGCTCATAGCTGATTCTAATGAAAGGGTGCCCATTAAAAGTGGATCCTATTCGTCCATTTTTATTTTCATGAAAAATGTAAGAAGCCCTACACCCTGTCTGTTCTCTGTTGGCACAGCAGACCCTCCCAACCAGTGTCCTTATTCCAGCCTGGTTGGAAAACATTGATGCTAAGTGGTAAACACAAAACAAATACGTGCTAAGCCCAAGTTTTATTTAAAGAAATAACTGAGGTCATGAGTTTTCCCAACTGGAATACCAAGAGGCATTGGAGACTATAGCATTTGTTACGTTTTTAATGGCTCTCAATATACATCAACTGGTAATTTACACACAAGGGAAAAATAAAATGGGGGCAGTGTTTAGCATTGCTGCCTCGCAGTTTGGGGATCCTGGGTTCAATCCTGGACCTGGGGTGCTGTCTGTGTGGAGTGTGTACGCTCTTCCTGTGTTTGTGTTGGTTTTCTCCCACAGTCCAAAGACATGCTGGTGGGTTAATTGGCTTCTGGGAAAACTAGTCCTGGTGTGAGTGTGTGTGCCCTGAAATGCCTGGTGTCCCTTCCAGAGTGTACCCCACTTTGTGCCCATTGCTTGCCAGGATTGGTTGCCCCTTCCCTGTGACCCTAGTTTGGAAGAAGTGGTTAGAAAGTGGATGGATGGGAAGTGCCTGCCTTGACTCTCTCTCTCTGTCTGACAGCGGCCCAGCCCCCTGCAGCTGTACTCCCCTCCCTTTGTGCTGGGGCCCACCCGCAGCAAGCAGCTGGAGTTGGGGGAAGCATGGGGCGAGGGGGTGCCCCGCTACAGCGTGCTCTTTGTGGGCTACTGCCTGTCCCACGACCAGCGCTGGATTCTGGTGTCGTGCACAGACCAGCAGGGAGAGCTGCTAGACACCTGCATCATCAACATTGATGTGCCCAACCGGTAAAGACACCCATCTGACACAGCCACACAATTTGCGAGGTCCAGCTGATTCACTCCAACTATATATCCCAGAGTTTTCCAGAATTTGTAACATATTGGTTGTGGAGATGCACAGAATCAGAGCTCAGCCGCGCCAAGGTTTGAAAAGAGGTTTATTCTGTAGTTATAACACTGGCTGTTCAAGCATTACTTCTCTTGACAGCTTGTTGGAGTGGGATTTCAGACAGGCTCATTAGCTCAGAAAACCCAAAGAGCAGATCAGCACCTGTCTCAATGTGCATCCTCCACAGTCTTTCACTCACAGATCTGGCGATCCCAAGCACAGCTAGGGGCTCCAGATTTTTCTGTCCCCCCCCCCCCCCAATCAAGAATACATTTGGATTTGTTAGATGCTTTGGATCTACAGTAACCTGGGAGAGGTTTGTTCCATTTCTAACAGCCCTGTTGTGGGTATGCTTTCCCCTGGCCCGGCCACACTCTGACTCTCTCTGGCAGGGCGCGGAGGACCAAGGTGTCAGCTCGCAAGATGGGCCTGCAGAAGGTGTGGGAGTGGTGCATTGGCATCATCCAGATGACATCTTTGCCGTGGAGGGTTGTGATCGGGCGCTTGGGCCGCCTGGGTCACGGAGAGCTGAAAGGTACGGTCTTGCTAAAGCTGTAGCTGCCACCACGAGAGAAGTTTTCTCATTTCTGTTCACCTGGGTACTAAAGCTCAGTTGTACAATGTCAATCCACTTGACTGGAGAGGGGCTGAAACTGAACAGGCTCAGTTTGCCACATGGTTTTGACTGGCAGTAAGAACATGCCTCTCCCAGTTATCGGATGCTGTCCAATCATTTAAAAATAATAAGAAAATAAAACTGATCGTCAGTCCCTCCCTCATTATCTATGCTATCCTGTCCTAGGATGTACGATTTACTGTACCACATAATAACATGCTGTTCTATTTCTACATTGTACAGCTATTTCTAAACAGTTAATTGACTTCTCAATTCTGTCTGTGTAACAAACAAACAGTTACATTACATTATAATTTCCATTACAACAGTTACATTATTATAACAAACAGTTAATATAGCTTCACATTTCACCTCTCCTTGCCACAGTTTTTTACCGACCTTTCTGTCTGCATCCTTGTCCAGCAGTTAAAGGATTTATATTTAAGAAAATCATCTGAAGCCGATTATCCTTAAATTTAGAGCACGCTACCTTTTCTCTCGATGACAGATTAAGTTCTTTTTGAATCCTCTCCATTCATTTACAGATTTCAGCTTTTCAAATACCCCCCAATCTCTAAAACCTGAGGACACTCTCCCTCACTAGTGTGGCCATTCTCACCTGCACTGTTCTTTGTTCTCCTGAGCATTATATTCTTGCTGCCTTACCTCTCACACCTGAAGAAGGCTCAACATCCAAAATATTGTTTTTGCTTTTGATTTTTCAGAGTGGGATTAACCTTTAATTGTTCATTTGCAGTAAAAGCACACGGACACAGATCCCCACTCGAACGCAGTTTCTTGTATCTTCAGTAAATCCCTTCACTAGGTCAAAATCACAGTGCGTTTCTGTTGGTTGTAGATGGAACGCCCCGAAATAGGTCAGACAAACTCTGCGGATCGGTTTGGATCTTACTGCTGTACAGGATCCCCCTGACCCTCTGTCCCTCTTCCCAGACTGGAGCATGCTCCTGGGGGAATGCGCCCTGCACTCCATCAGCCGGCACCTCCGGGACACTTGCCGGATGTGTGGGATCTCTGCCAGTGACTCGCCCTCCATCCTGAGTGCCTGCCTGGTGGCCATGGAGCCACAGGGCTCCTTCGTGGTCATGCCAGGTAAGTCCCGGCTCCCTCGCCCCCAGCTGTGGTGGGCACGCCCATGGAAACTCCCTTCCCTGTGGGCTGGTCCATTAGAGCTTGACTTGCTGTTTGTCAGCTTGTGCAGGTGGCCAGAATCATTTAAAGGGCTCAGAAAAAAAAAACAAGAAAATTTGCAAACTAAACTTATTTTTAATGCAATAAGATTCCTAAATTAATTTGTTGATATTTTACATCAAGACAATTAAGACTGAGATGGAATGATTCATATAAAAGTACAATATTGCAAATGAAACATATCTTGTTAACATGTATAATATACTGTATATAAACTATATGAATTCTTCTGTTTATACTGAGCATTGGAAGAAACGTGCTCTCTAGTTATGCATCTATTTTAGAAAATCTAGACTTTTGATTAAAGACGTTGATTACAGATTTTTGGTGTACTTTTGATTTGAAATTACAATTTAATTTTGATGTCAACGTTGGTGAAAACCAAGAGACAAGAACACAGAAAGGAAGCAACATATCCCACTTATATCATGTTCATTAAAACAAGCTGAAGTCAAAGCATTTGCTCCACATGGACAAAAGTCAATTTCTGAAATGTTCGATTTGGTTATAAGTGGTTTATTTTGATGTTCAATAAAAAACAAACAGGGAGAGAGAGGTATTGAATGTTGGTATAATGATCAATGCATCTGAAAAAGCTGTAAGCAATGGAAAAGCAATTTCTGGCCTGTCGGTAGTAGTGGTTTGGGGGTTTCCTGTCTGTGAGGGCCATGAGGTGACTCACGGTGTGTGTACCCACAGATGCAGTAACAATGGGTTCGGTGTTCGGCCGCAGCACAGCCCTCAATCTGCAGACCTCCCAGCTCAACACGCCGCAGGACGCCTCCTGCACCCACATCCTGGTCTTCCCCACCTCCGCCACTACGCAGGTGGCACCGGGCACTTACCCCACCGAAGATAATCCCGGTAACCGCGCCGACGAGTGGAAGTGTTCATTTCAAGGGGCACTGAATTTCCGTTTAGAGAAACAGATTTTGTCAAGTTGACTTAGTTTGCATGCTGTTTAGAAACACTAATAAAAAAAAGTGTGTGAAGCTCTCAGGCATAACTCTAATGCTCTTGTGTAGGAGTAAGATATCTGTGCCTGAAGTAAAGTGTAAAGGAAATCATCTTTTTACATTAAGAATGTGTAAATTGACAAAAATAAGCCTCACTATAAAATCCCTTTGAGCATTCTGAAATCAAGAGAATGGGATGACTACTTCTTTATGCAAAGGATTTTGGAGCATGAAGCAACCTACCCATCCATGTTGTTGAACCAAAATCCCTGGCTTCTTTCAAGAAACACTTGAATGAGATCTTATGATCAAAGAACTGCTAAGCTGGCTAGATAGGCCAAATGACCTGCTTCTGTTTGTACCTCTAACAGTTTTTAAAAACCTCTTACAAATGAGCTCTGTATTCAGTTACAGAAATAAATAAATATATATATATACACACAAAGCACTGCACAATATTCTGTAATATTACTATGGTACTGTACATTTAACATGGACAGGCTAGTGTATTAACAGCAGTAATCCCTAAGACCTGCAGAGGGTACAGTTGCAAAAGTATCTGCTTTTAGTGTGTCATGTTTCAGAATGGCAAGCAAAATGAACTTCCCAATTAAATATAACATTATAATATAAGGTTAGTTATAACAATGTGGTCAATGCTGTGAAAGCAGTATGGTTTCAATTACAATTTCAATTATAAAATAGGTTTAATTATTGTCCTATCTAAACACAATTGTTGTGTTAGGCAGCTAGTCATTAAGTCCTTGTTGAACACACTTAAAGAGAATTTTCCCATTTAAAATGAACTGTTGATAATTGTAACATGATGCATAGTTACAGAGGAATGGCAAGGCTCCAGTTCTCTTCTTATTTGACCTACAGACCTGTAAGAGGAGTAATGAGTTTATCCTGCAACTTTCTTAATGGTTTAATATCTCGTTGACCTATTACATTATCTGGTGCTAAATAAGCATCCCTTAGCACACTACAAAAGTTTATTTGGTGGAAACCTGGAGTGTGTGAACCCTGCAGACGTCACACAGTCTTATCTATGCTGACTGGATTCACACAGGTGGAGTCCAGGCACATTTTTTTGTGTTAAAAACAATCCCGGCTAATTAAGATGTAGTTGATGAGAATGCATGGAATGTGACTTAGTACAACAAAGCTTTAAATGGTTTAAATGATTTAGAAGCTTGCTGGCCTAGTGAGCCCATGTTATCTTCCTTTCCCAGATGATATGTTTGACCTGCCTTTTCCGGATGAGCTGGAGAATGACATCGGGAACGACATGATGCTGATCACTGGGAACCTGCACCCCTCCCCAAACTCCTCGCCCGTCCCTTCGCCCGGGTCTCCTTCCGGGATGGGCGGCGGGTCCCACTTTCAGCACACCAGGGTGAGCCTGGAGATAATCCAAAAGGACAATCAGGTGTCCTTTTGAGTTGTGGGCCATATTCTCAAGTGCAAATACACAGACAGCACAGCCTGCAAGAGCAGCACTGTCACTTTCTCAGAGGGCAAACGACATTCTTTTTTCCCTACCAAAAATGCAAGACTTCTTTATGCAATCTTTAGTGGGATCAGCCTTTTTCCTCTTATATCTCATGCTGTTATTTCAGGTTATGTCACTATCTTTCACACTTGTTCATTCCTTCTAGCATGAAGTGAAGCTGCAATCAAGAAAATGTAACAAACTGGTATTACATAATTGTAATGTGATTAAGCACTGAGATCTTGTGTGCTACAGTGACATAGAATACCTCTAGACCTATTTTTTTCTAAAAGCACGTATTCCTGGGACTGTCCCATAGACAGCAAATAATGATCTCAACAGCCTTACAGAATAGTTGCATTAGGGGCACACAATGCACGATAAAACAGCAGGATAAATTTGATGACGTAAACTACCTATTTTATCTACCATGTCACTGTTCCTTGACTTTAAAAGTTATAATGAAAATCCCGTTTTTGAAATTTGTCTGCTTGGTTGCTGAAATTGCTGTTTACTCAGGATTTTGTGGTTGCTGCCTCTCCCTCCTTTAGAGCCAGGGAGAGCGGCTTCTCTCTCGGGACGCCCCAGAGGAGCTGAAGCAACAGCCCCTGGCATTGGGGTACTACGTCTCCACTGCCAAGGCCGAAGACCTGCCTCAGTGGTTCTGGGCATCCTGCCCACAGGCACAGAACCAGTGCCCACTCTTCCTGAAGGTACACTGCCCAGTGTTTAATTCTAGCCTGTTTTCTGCAGCCTTCTGTCTTACACACTGCATTGTGCATTGTCAGCTGTTTTCGTCATTGATGGCCCTTCACATTTCCCAGTCAAATCCAGTAACAATTTGTTCATTATAAAAAGATGAGCTACTTTCCACTGAGCATCTCTTTACGCGATATTCTGATCAATCAGTTTACGGGTGATGCTTATTGCTAATCCATTTAACTTGAGTTTCAGTTAAGTTTACAATGATGAGAGGGTTGCACCTTTTTTTTTACTCAATGGACAAGGTATCCTGACAATATTTTTTTCAATAGGACAGAGATGGGTGTAGTTTGCTGTATTCATGCTATTCCTATATGGCTAACATTGCTAAAAATGTTTCTAACAAAAAGGCATAATTGCGTTTTATGAGACGTATGTTGTGAAACAAATTTCAAAAATAAGTAACGCTGTACTGCTACACCAACTGCTTCAGTACTGTGTTCATCTTCTTGATTTCTTGGTTTTATTCATGCTGATTGTCTTTCCATTGCATTTCCAAATCTGCCCAGTCTGTTTGTTGTTCTTGGAGACACTGTAGTGCAGTGTAAGCCACTGGCATGATCTTTGTGCTATTCTTCACTGCAATTCTGTTAAAAAAAAAAGAGCACAGTTGCTAAGCAGCTAAAATGCCCTGCTCTTTTCCTCTCCCAACAGGCCTCGCTGCACCACCACATCTCCATTGCCCAGACGGACGACTTCATCTCTAACAAGACCTCACAGAGGACACCTCATCCCCTCGACTCCAAGACCACCTCAGATGTGTTAAGGTGAGGGAACCAGCATAGTATTTGCACTACAAGGGCTCACAGCCGTAAAGGGAAATGAATTAACCATCTACTCTCCAGGGCAGTAGGATCCTAGCCTTTCCAGCTGTGCTGTCCTAAAGCACATTTGTCTGCAGAATTGCATAACTGAATTAACTCACAATTAGCTTCCTTGGTGGTCTAGTGGTTAGGATTGGGCGTTCTCATAGGCCCAGCCCGGGTTCAATCCCTAGCCTGGGAATATTGTGCTCCTTCTCAGCTGTGGGAGCGTGGACCAAGCTACCCACCCATGTTGTTGAAGTCTATAGCCTGATGCAATCCTTGGATTTCACGTTCTAGCTACCAAAAGGGGAGACAGATGGGCCTGAGGGCCTCCCCTCCTATGTAACCTTTATGTTTAATTAAAACAACTAGCAAGCTGGCTGTGCAAAAATCAAAATTTTGAAAGGGTTTGAAATTGCAGAAATATGACTACGTGTCTGAAGCCCTCCAACATCTTTGAGCTCATGTGTTTATAAGTGTGAATGCATGAAATTGGTGCAGTTGATGTTCATAGCCAAGATACCAATGGGTTGACTTTGACAGTCCCTTATGAATAAAAGGATGAAGTCCCAGTTTTTGCTACTCAAGACTCAAGCTATTCTGTCCCTGGGCCCTGGGCGGCATCTGATTTACTGTGCTTCTCACCCCACTCCCTGTCGCTGTTTGCCAGGTTTGTTCTGGAGCAGTACAACGCCCTCTCCTGGCTAACCTGCAGCCCAGCAACACAAGACCGCCGGTCCTGCCTGCCCGTTCACTTTGCAGTTCTAACGCAGATGTACAATGCCATTCTTAATATGCTCTAAGAAGGGGTCCATTGCAACACCATGTACAGTACCTCTCCCTTTACATCCCAGGGAGGAACTCTTGCCTGTTACACCAAATTTGATAAACTGCCAATTTTTCTGTTTCAAAACAGTTGTCTTCATTTTAACTTGCAAAATAGACAACCACCTTTTGTTTAGTGACTGCATGTAGCAAAAAATGATCAAAAGTATACTCCTTTTTATATTCTAGTACCTCAGGGCACAGGTGTCATCAAGGGTAACATTTGAAGGATTACTGCACGGGATCTTTTTTTTCCTGTTTAGTATTTCACACTTTCTCCTGTAAAATCAGTCAGTTCAAAGGGTCAGAAAGTGCAAGAAATACCAATTAAATGTTTTATTCTGAATATAATTCGTCCGCCTTTATAGAAATGGAAGTCCACAGTTTATGTCAGAGGAATCACAGTGATAAAACAGATTGATTTCCATCAAATTGCAGTGTTACAATGTTTTGGCAGCTTCTGTTAAAGGGAATATACTGTATATATTTATTTTTGGTTTTAATTACTATGATATATCAATTATGGAAATGTAATAGACAATGTAACAGAAGCATCATAAAGGCATAAGAAGGATGATGTTTTAAAATGAACATCCTCTGAAACCTTTTAATAGTATAGATTTGTTTGATATCACTTTTTTACTAAGCATGTTTTCTGCAGCAAGGAATGTTACACCTTCCTGCTGTGAAAACCAATGGAAATCATATCGTTGAAGTGTGAAGAGAAAGTGTTACAGATATTTTGTAAGTAAGAGAAACAATTACATACTTCGAAATGGCAATATTGCTTAAACACAGTTATTTTACTACAAAGAGATTGTTCAATTGTAAGGTAATCAAAAGGAGTACATTTTTCAAAGAGCCACAGGCCTACTGAGCAGAATCCTAGGCAGCTTTGTCTACTTTGCAAAGAAGAAATGAATGACTGCTCATTATAGAGCTAACGTCATTTACCCAGGGAATTTTCTGAGAAAAATGGGGACCAGTTTTCACAAGTTGAAAAAGCTTCAGCCATCTTAGTTCAGTACTGGTAGCATAGTTTGGATGTCAAAATAAGGTTTTCTTAATACAATGTTGTTAGATTGCATAAAACTGTTAGAAAGGCCCATTTGTAAAATCTGATGTGAAAATGTATAAATACCTGACATTGCAATTCTGAGTTGTCCCTGCAAACTACGTGCACTGAGAGCAGAGGCCATTTAGTGATCTGAGGAAAAACAAGATGCTATGATGAGAAAACGTCACATCAGAGGGGGTAAAAAAAACACATTTTTAATCTCTCTCTTAGCATGTTTCTTGGTGTTTGTTAAAGATCATGCTGGATTAAATGGTATTGTGTTTAAGAATACCATGATCCTATGGATCTCTTTCTAGAATGGAATAAAGCCTTTGCTTTCACATTCTCTTCCCATGGATTTGAAGAAATGGTTGGGCAGTTGGCCATAGGTGATTTGGCTCCTGATGGTGACATTTCCTCTCAAAGCAGCATGTAAATGCATGTTCTTGTGATTTGTGCTCTGCACTTTCGTGTCATTTGTCCTTTGTCTCACATCCTGTAAATTGATCATATTTATTGGCGATCATTTTTTTTGGTCAGCTGCAAACCCCAAAACTTTCAGCAAATGTGCCAGCATTAGCCCCTTCTTTAGAACAGTACATGAGTAGCAGCTGTGAACTTGCTTAGATGGCCGACATGATTCTCCACAAGAGTTTCTGAAAGGAACTATGAACCACAGTGCCTAGATTTGAGAGCACCCAAGCATTTGTACAAGATACAAACTGTCTACCAAATGAAGGTGCAAACTGTCCCTTAAACTGAAGAGTATTTTTTTCATTGTCAAGATATGAGAAACAGTAAATCATATTATTGGCATTGGATAAGCCAGAGGTTTAACCTGGGACATTCTATAATACATACTCACCTGAAAATACACATTTACTCCTTGTGACAAAAGTACTGCAGTTCAATTTTCATAATTCATCAGCCTACCATTTGGCTTTGCGTTAGTTGATATGGGCTTAGTTTCAGGACACAAATAGACCACTATAAAAGAAATTGGGTCACAAGCTTAAAACAAAATAAAGGTGCAACCAACATGACATTCCCTTAAAAGAATGCCTAGCAGTCCAGAATTGAGATCAATTTCTCTAGTTGTGTTTATATCTCATACAACAAATGAAAACAATCTATAATTTTCGTGTTGGATCTGTTCAGAAACCATCAGGGTATGTTAATTCCCCGATATCTTGTGTGATGTTTTTCATTAGGTTTAAAAAGAATCAAGACTTACAAGAGCACCTGTTATTCCACCTACATCGTGAACATCACGATGACTAAGTTTTCTATAGCTGGTTAGAAGACATGTTCCTCTTAAGAAGTTTTATCTTTCAGAAGAAAAAAAAAAGTTTTCAGCTGCGGCACACAGAGCATCCAGACCACAGTATATTTAATATACATATTTTATTCACAATATCATGTATTTCATGGCAAGCGTTGTTGATACGAAATTAAAATGTTTCAATATTTCATACTTGGGATCACTCAGTTCCTTACCATTTGCTTTTTGCCCCCAGATTTGGCCTTGGATAACTACAGAGGGTAATGTGCACAGTAATGACAGCAGTGTTTTAGTACATCCAGTGCCATACAGACTTACCTCAAGGGGGAACATGTCTTTCGCCTCTTGTCATGTCAAGGACAGGGGCCAGGGCTCTGATCTTGATCTGATCTTAGGGTGCACAGGGAGAATGACCTTTTCCATCTTAATGGGGCAGAAAGAACAGAGTGACGGGGAATTATCCTCTGGGTCACGGGAGATAATACTGTAGGTGCATCTGCTGATTAAGTTTTGTGGTTGGGGACACTCAGATTACTAGTGGGATTCAAGGGATAAAAGGGGAATTTGTGTGGGGAATTCTCAATTTAAGACAAAAACTAAACTGGAAGTAAAAAGTAACTGAATCTTGAATTGAGACTCAGTCAACAATGAGAATGGGAACAGCAATTCTTCAATATTTGTACATGCTAGTTTTATGAGAGGTAAATGCACAATATTATGTTCTTCCAGACACAAATTGGCTCAAATTCCATTAACATACTGCTTATTTATTGTTTTATATTTCATCATATAAATTGGTTGTGAAATTTCTTATGAAGTAAAAAACTGATTAGAGGCAACAGACTTGATTTGTTTGGAGGTGGAGGTTCATTCAAGGCACTTTTATGATTTTCATTTTTTTAAAGTGACATTCTATTCTGTTGTAGATGTGATCCTGATAGAGGAAAACAGAAACAAAAAAGCAAATGGCCATTGTGTATAGTGTAAAACTGACATTTACAATCAAATTTGACTATTTTTTATGAATTAAGAAAAAATAAGAATGACAACATTTGTGTTTTCCAGATTTAAAAAGAGATAGCCTTGGAATTAGGCAAGGAATTTTGCAAAAAAATCAATTAAAAAATTGTGAAGATGCCATATTTAAATAAATATATATACATATATTTTTAGGTTTTGAATTAAAAAAATCCTACCTCCCTGAATCTGTCAGACAATGGGGGAAGAATTTAACTTTTAAATTTCTCTTTAAAAAAAGACAAAAAACAGGACAGAAAAGCTACGGCTAGCAGATTAGAGATATTTTTAGTTTGTCCTATACTTTTTTATTGTTATAAAAAAATTTAGCCTCTGTTTTATTTAAGATTTAAGTTAAGGAAACAGAATGATACAGACAAAATATATTTATAAAAATGTTTTCTTTTGCTGCAAAATAAACTTGAAATAGATGGCAATAGACTAAAAAGTATGTATTTGAGCATTAAAAATGGTATTGTATATTAAATGAATACACATTATTTTAGTGGTGGTTTGAAAGAGAAGAAACAGACCATCACTCTGTTTAGCCAGCTCTTCTCCTCATCAGCACCCTGTTATTTGTACAATTCCCTAGCATGCTATGTATATATACATATAATTCAGCTGACTTTTTGAAATTCTGAAAGCTGTACATTTCATGCTGGTTCGATCTTTCTTTTACGCAATTCCTATGAAGCATTTTTTGCTGTGGGCTTTTTTTATATAAATATCCTTCAGACAAAGTGGGTGGAAACAAGTGGGAGGGCTGGTGGGTGGTGGGGTAAGTGACTTTCATGAGATTGTTGTATTGCTGAAACAAGTACACTAAGGAAAAAAAGATGAAACAGCAAATTTGATACACCTTCTACCATTTTAAATATCAGCCAGATCTATCTTGGGGAAGAAAAATCTGTATCTTTTACACTCTTTTTTTAGTAAATTATTAAATTATGGAAAATGGAAATACCTGGTGTCTTGTCTGTCTGTTGGGAAATAAATACTTCTTTGCATATCTATAGACATTTTCATCCAGTAGAAAACCACAGATGAACAGGTAATGTGCTATTGCCATTCTAGTAAGCTACTTCACCTGTTAAAGAGGAACTGCAGCCCCAATGTCTCAGATCGGTTATTAAATCTCAGTAACAAATTCATTGACGGTGTAGAAAAAGTGTACATATTTTGAATTAAGCATCAAATCGTTTGACAATATGTGCGAGAGCTAAAGTTCCCACTAATTGTGACACGATGCGACCCTTCCTGCTCACTAGTCACTGTGATAACTAATCTAACGGGATGCACGAGTGAGTAAGTACAAGTGCAGCAGATATTTCACCACAGAAAGTTGCCAACATGCAAAGTTAACAAGTTCCATTCGTCAGCAAATATTATTTTAAAAAACAAGAGCAATACTGGATTTAAAATACATGTATCGACAAGCATACAGTACTTGTTTACAGTGTAACAGGGCGACTTCACACCACCAGAAGTTTTGTTTTGTGTGGCGCTGCGCATACCTGGAAATTTAGTCTATTTTGTGTTGCAAATAGGAAATTATACAAGTTACCGTATACTGTACATTTGACTTTTATTGTGGTTTGAAATGCACTCATCAATGGTGATTCTTTCTAAGTCCTAAGTAAATGGCATTGCAGTTTCTGTTTAAGTTGAGGGAGAAATTTACGTAGGCTAGATTGAGCACCCCTGAAGCAGTATTAGCCTGGATACCAGGACTAGCACCCCGACTCGTACAAATGTTACCATTAGATCTTCAACAACTATGATTAGTCAGAATAGCAACTCCAGAAACCCAGTATCCCCTGTCAACATACTGGTTCATGGTATCACTTTGAAATTTCTGATTTAGAGAATAATGGTAGAGTTTTATTTATAAATGCCTTTTAATTAAAACTAAAATCATTATTCAATAGCACACATACAGTACACGTAACAGAATGAAAAAGGATTCGCTACCTGACCTGACCTCATCATGATAGAATAAAGGCATATAATAAAGATTTTGGCTAAACTATGCTGCTGGAAAAAGATTCCCTTGTGAAGTTCACAACATTTTTGATTGACAACATAGGGTCAAAAATGACGAAATGTTTGGATTCCATCAAGAATAACATTGATGGCACCACCTTTGAGAAACTAGTGCTAGGAGTCTATGTGAATAACCTTACCTTAGTCTTGTCAGTTTCTCTTAAGAAGGGACTGTTGCTCCCATGTCCTGTGAAGCGCACTACCTACAGCCTGGATGTTGGATTTGGTCTGCAAGTAAGTGAGAGTATCAGCAGCATAGCGAAGAAGTCCAAGTCCAGGACACAACATGGAAACACTAAATAGTAAACACTAAAAAAAGTAATGGTCTCAACACAGAGCCCTGCTGAACACCTACTGTAAGTAATTGGCATAAGATTAAACAAGCACAGATTTTACAACTGAGACCTGTTAAGTCTGATAGGGGCCAAACTCTGGGAAATACCAGAGATCCCGTGGAGGCCTAGATGAGTTTCAGTGCACTTTAGAAGGATGAAGAAGCAAGAAGTAGGACAAGTATAAAGCATTAACTTTGTTGCATTAAGTCTAAAGAAAGACTTAAAGAGCTCATTAGATGCAAGATGGGATTGAGCTGCCACTGTTATTTAGTGAGAAAAAGACAAATTGGAAATAGAATGGTAGCTCAACTACTCAGCACTCCAGGTCAGGGTTTTTTTAACAGGTGTGATACAGCAGATATTACTCCTATAAGTGCAAAAGCAGATCACAAGGACTCATTGACAAGGGCTTGTATCACATGACAGAAAGACCAGAGGAACCGAATTTGACAGGGACATACAGTAGGAACAGGATTCAAAACAGAGATATCAGGTCCTACTTCTGGTACAAACTCACTAAGTAGCATCAACAAATGAGTGAAATGCAAACCTGCAGGAGTGCCTACCTGTGCCATGAATGCAGAATGATGATGTCAGCAAACGGTTATGATTGGAAAAGCAGACTTCTTAACTGGGTGAAGCATTTTACTGGTGACTAAATAAAGGACTGGAGGATTACTGTAGGTGACGATTCTTCTGATGTTTCCCGTAAGGCCTAAAAATTAAAGACATTTGAGTAGGGAGCTGCTCATTTATCAATTATGATGAAGTTGCTGAGGTGGATTTTCACACCATAAAAACACAGCACAAAGGCGTCTGAAAACAAAAATGGACCCTTTTTATTGTCTACAGAGACCACCAAAGCTTGAACGACTTCATCATAATAAGGCTACCTCTTATTTTATCAGAATACACCAGCAGAGGGAGCCCTTTCACCATGTATTACTACCAGGAATGCAGTAAAAACTTTCTTGCCCTGGCTATAATCTCCCGCTCATCAAAAAGTAACCCTTTTGTATACAGAACCCTCTTTTGTCAGGGAAGCCTGGATTTGGGAAGTAGCGGAGACTGCTGTCAGGCCCGTGCTCATTAGGAGTGATGGATGTCCCTGTTCTTCCTGTGTTTTTCTCTGTCGTACTTGAGGAACAATGGTACAGCATCTCATTTACGTCTGTGTTCCAGGGCTGGGGAAGGGTGGGTGGCTTAAGTTTGCTCTGTTCGCACTTGTCCTTCATCCCACAGGCTGGAGAATGCAGCTGACATACTGCAGGATTGATTCCTATACTGTACATCTGCCTGCCATATTTACAAGTCTATTCCAAGTATATTGTGACTTATTCAGCACATGCAAGGCAGACAGAGCTGGGAAATTTTTAATGAACCTTGCACAGTGTGAGAGATTTCACTCATTTATCCATGTTCGACGGCATGTGTTGATCATCTTACCCTTTACCTTGGAGCCTTTATTTAGAGTGGCATAACATGTTTCCCAAGTGTTCCCTGCATCTGAGGCTTTTTCCTGCGCTGCAATAACCCATTACAGATTACCGATTTTGAAAGATCTGATCTTCAGATCTGAAGACCTGGTTTACCAGTGCTGTTCGGACAGGTGGAGAGCATGCTGTGAGCCCATTGTGATGGGTTGTAGAGGATTTGCAGGCCAATCCTCCTAAAGAGCCTACAATCTTGCGGGTGTAACAGGGCTGGGCAAGAGGAAGGCCATCCAAAACAACTAGAGAGGCTGCAGAAACAGCCTCAAGATGGCTGTGGATCAAGAGGAGTGATCTGTGGGTAAAAGTGTCTTCTGGGTACAAGCTGGGGCTTGATCAACCTTGGCCGAGTCACCTGAGCGAGGGCGTCTGATGTTGAAACACCTGAAACACCCAGTGACCCCAGGCAGGTAACATCACTGGTGATGTGTCCAGCTGTATCAGAGGATGTATTTTTCAAACTGAATGATAATCCTTATAGACTGGCACAAAGGGAAACAAAACAGTGTCTGGACTGAACTTCTCTTAGAGTCAAGGAAGCTAACTGACTGATGTGTCAATTCTGAAATATTAGTGGTCATGTTTTAATATTTCCAATCATGACGTTTTTATCATCTATTTCAGAAAAGCTAATTCTCAATAAATGTGTTGATCTTAAGCCAAAAAATACATTAATCAAATACATGAAAGGATTCTTCAAAGAGATTAATACTATTTTGTGCCAGTGTGGTGTTTAACTCTTGAACTTGCAAGATAATTTCTTAAGGACTTTTAAAACGCCCAAGGCAAAATTAAATCATGAAATACTGTTATTGTGTAGGAACTTGTAAAAATAAAGCTCACTACAGGCGAACCGTCAGTGAGTTTGTGTCAATCATATCCAGAAGCTATAACACACAAAGGAACGCTCAGAGTAACAGTCATTACTGCAGTGGGGTGTGTCGTTTTGCAAATTACCAACGTTTACTGCAAACAACAAGAAAGCTTGTCTTACGTTAAGATTTATGCTTAGTCCATTTCCAATATAAGATGCAAAATAAACATTAAATCACACCTTGTTTGTGTTGTGTGTTCCTGTTTAAGGAGCAGAGGAAAAAAGTAATTCATCTGCTGTGCAAAATCACAAAATGCAATTATTTCTCAGAAAAAGTATTTCCTTTACTATTGATGGGAGAATTATAAATCTATTTTTTTTATTCTTAGAACATAAACCTACATAATCACTGAGTAAACACTACAACAGCAGAGTACTACTGTGTGATGTGAACAATTCACCAGTTTTTAAAAGCAGGCACTTTATTTTCTTTCTTTCTTTCAGAGAGAGCTGCTATCTGAAATATTTTGATGTTCCACTTGGCAAGTGTTCCTGTAATTCCAGTTTACTTTCACCAGCTTTTAGTTGTGATCTGATAGCAGGTACTACAACCTCCTGCCAAATCAAGTAAACTTAAAAAGGTCATGTATCTGTTTCCTTCATTTTTTTATATCATCATAGTTTTCTAACAGAAATAAGCAATTGTTTTATTGATTCGATGAAGCACAGTGTCTCAGGAAATCCCTTCTACAGAGGATTCATAGTTGATATTAAAGCATACCCCCATAATACCCCCATCTAAGAAACAAAATATAAACCTACAGTATGTAATTCTTCCAAAAATACATGTAAGAATCCAAAAATAACAATAAAAGCTCATTTATAAATGGAGTAGTTACAGTAATAGTAAGAAAAGCAGTTTGGTAATAAGATTTTATTTCAAATCCAGACCACTTACTAAATTATTTATGACACTTCTATCACCATTGTTTCAGAAAGGCTTTTGTGACTCCTCATAAATCAATTGATTACTTAAAAATTCAACAATTAAAATTCAAAATGAAAATATAATAACAGGCAGAATTGACTATAGATTATTTAGAAAATAATGTTATTCCTGCACTTGAAGTAATACATAAGAAACTGCAATGTTTTTTTAAACAGGCTAATAGGAACATCATTAATTTAATCATCTTTGTAAATGTATCTTTGTTATTTTTTCCCCACAAGTTCTATTATACTCAAAATACTTTGTTACTAAGTTGCATGATAGTTTTTTCAAATTTCTGTAAAGAGATCATCACTGAAACAAGATGTTTTTCCAGATGTGGAAATAAATCATATTATATTTGACCTGCATGTATAGATGTTTTGTTGCTACATATGCAACTTTTCAATAGTTGCATTCAGCAATCTTTATATACTGTACATGTAACATTCCAAATAAAAGTAGAAAGGGTTATGATATATCATGCAACATACTGTACATGATAACCCATTTGCTGTAATATTTCTGTGATAGTACAGTATGAGCTCATATTAAACTGTAGCCATATTCAATTTGGCTTGATAGCTCCTAAACAAGACAACTGTACAGGTGCGATATTGATATTGTCCCTTGAATTAAAATGCTAAAGCTATACGTTCATACAAACTGGGGCTCTGAATAAATATTTTATTGCAGTTGCCAGAACAGAACACAGACAATGATGTGCACAACCTTGGCCTAAGTATATTTTTAAATGACACTTACCAAACCAAACAGAGGCACAGGAGAGAGTCCATTTGCAGATCAGGGTCAAATGAAACAAAAGGGGAAGAATAGAAAAGAAAGGGAAAAATATGGCGTTAAAATGAGTTCTGGAGTTTTTAAGTGTTGATCCCTAAAATGTGGGGCTGCTAATGTTTCTTTTGTAATGGCCTTTGTGATGAGAAGGTCTCGAGTCTAATTGAGTTATTTTGCAGACACAGGCAGGCTATTAGGGTGATGGCATTCACCTTTTATGAGGTGGACTGGACAATGGTTCACAGTCTGCTGTGAGTAAGGTTACTGCATTGCTGACAATTACATTGGTATATGCTGCATTTTTCCCCTGTGAAATATTCCCTTTTTAGGTAATGGAGATTAGGTAGAGAGACCCAGCATTTTGTGTGCTTATGACAGAAAATGTATTTTTACCATGGCCTGCATCTGACAACATGAAAATACATCATGGCTCTTGTTTCTTTAGAGAGCTACAGTACCCCCCTCCAGTGGCAACACTTTCTTTCACAGATGCAGGCTCCTGCTGCGTTTCTGCCTTTTGCTTCTGACCATGCACTCTGAGATGTGAGTGTATTAAATTACACCATCACCTCAAACTCAACCCAGAATTTAATCAATTAATTACATAGACATACTCAGTTTTGTCTCTGCTATTTGTTCTAGTATTGAAAAGTAAGTTATTGAACTGAGCATGCTTAAAACATACTGGCTGAACATGCATGACAGATATTTCTACATAGAGTATAATACATTCAACAAAATGTCATGGACAAGTTCGAGGCCATGACTGGAGGAAGATACCTGTGCAATACTTCACCCTTAGTCTGGTGCAGGGACTGACGAGACAGCTCATTGATTCTCTGGTGCTTTAACTCATCTAACAAAGGAATTCAGCAAATATCTCAGCTTTCTGACGTATTTCAGAGCCAGCGAAGGACATAAACCTTCATACTGTTCCTCTCAGGAAGTAACACCGTACACACATGCACTAGACATTAAGAATCAATAACCTGGATGCAGAACACCTACTGACACTTGTACCAAAAGTAATGTTTAATGGTTGCACTAAAAGCTGATGTTTTTAAAATACCTGGTTTGAAACTGGAGCAATCAACCCATATTTTTTTGGGGTGAAAGCTTCTCTCTGGTTTAGATGGAAACAAAATTAAAGAAAACTATGTTTGAAAGTGGAGAACAACAAAAGAATCCCAGACTGCAAAGATACTTTCAATGGCAACACCTAGGGCTTCCTGAACCGGATCACATATTCTTAAAATTGTGGCTCTTTTGAAGCTGCACGTTTTAATGTTTTATGTGGTTGTCAGAGTCCATTTGTTTTAACAGACAGTCAGTTACTCCACCTCACTAGAAATGAATGCAAGCAGTTTCTACTAAGATAAATGCAAATAAAAATGTGTGTGACATATTGTGCTCTATTTCAAACCTGCTAAACTGACTGATGCAAGATGTCCATTCCTGTTTTGTGTGCCCAAATGCATAAATGTAACAATTTCTCAGGAAAGCAATGCCCTTTAATCTAAGGGCTTGCTGGTTCAGTTCCAGGCTGTGGTACCTGTCAACTGTATTGTAAAAACATCCCCTGAGAAAAACACAATTGCAAGACCTG